AAGCGCAGGCGTTTTCACCGTGTTCCTCCTTACGCGTCTTTGCGTTTCAAACAAAGGTTTACTCTAGTAAGTGCTACACCGAGTTTCGCTTCAAACCGTTCTTCTATTACCCGCGCCGACACCCGTTTCAGCCGGGTCAATGCCATGCCAAGCCGTGGCGGTGAGAGATTACTCGCAGACCCGTATCAAGAAGCTCCTCGCCTCGGTCCGCCTGGACCAAAGGGTGGCCAATGGGCGGAGACCCAGGCGTCTTCCTGAGGCAGGCCTCACCAGGAGAGAACGAGCAACCTGCTGCAGCTGCGGACCGGATGCGTGTGGACCGTGGCCTGCCGCTACCTCAAGGGATGCTGCGCCTCCCCAGTCTGCAGCCACAGCGAGGACCCCGAGACCATCGAGCACATCCTCATTGCCTGCCCTGCCTTGGCCTAGGAACGCTCGAGGGTCACCGTAGCCTACCGGAGACATGGCCTTCCTGCCACCACCCTAGAGCACCTACTGTTCCCATCTCGTCTCCATCTACCAGCGCTCCGGAGCCTGGTAGAGTTCCTGGACGAGACGGGAATCGTGGCCTACCGCTGACGACGGGCCCCTTGCCACCCGTACCCTTGCTTCTGGACTGCTGCTTCTGTTGATGACGACCGTTCCATTGCTCACTTAATCTTTCCTCTTCTTTCCACTTTTCTCCTTTTTCCCTTCCCCACAGGCACTGCGCCGTGCTCCCGACCGGGTAGCAAAAATTAGGTGCCTTTTCTCATCTTCTAACCGCTACCACCACCAATGCCGTGCGCCCCGCTGCTGCTTCGCATCCCATCAGGGTTCCCTTCAGGGAGAGAGATGCTCCATAGTTTTTTACGTTACCAATTCGTTTACATCAATATTCTTGTTAGGCCTAAGGGCGCTTGAAATTCCTTTAAAAAAAAAACTAGCCTAAGTTATCCGTAAACTCCGCTGTCGAAGCTACCTGAAATGAGCGCAGTAGTTATAGAGAGTCTACGAAAGATGTGAGCCCGTCTCCGCCAATGTTAAATTCAGTTCGAAGCGGGCGTCCAGAACTACCGCTATGTTTTACGTACGCTACGTAAACGACGCATACACGATAATGCTAAGTTTGAAAAATGGCGTGCACGTGGTACACAGTTACGGGCGTATAGCGTACTACGCATGCGCATATCAATCCCTCTGTCCCGTGAAGCGCGCTAAACGATAACTTTTTTTAAACTGTCTAGTAGAACACGACCTACTCCGGTGGCAGTCAGTACATTTTAATATTGCCACCGGTTGTATATAGTGGAAGACATGCTTATGCAGAGGCACAGGACACAAAATAAGTGCACCTGCTATCTGTCTCTTGAGTGTGTTTAGAAAAAGTGAGGAACGATTTAGAGTACTGTGTACTCTACTATGTGAGAGCATAGAGAAATAAAAGGTGAAGAGCGGACACTCCCGTAGACCCCAGCGGCCCAATCGACCCTAGCACACCTGGTGGTTGGTGAGAGCAAGTGGCGTGCACTTCCTGTTTCGGTTTCACTGGCGCAAAGTTTGAATTTTTATTTTTTTTATTTTTATTTCGATTAAGTTATTATAAAGAGAGATGCAGGTAGTGATAATTCACTACGATTTTATTCATCGCGCTTGTTCTTGTTCTTTTGTTCACTTGTTCTTTTGGAACAAGTGATCAATGTATATATCAGTCAAAGAGACAGAGTATCCGCAATGTTTTATTCAAAGGCAAGGTAGAGTCTGAGAATATAAAAAGCACAATATGACAAAGGTAGACAACAAATGCATCTCGCCTTACAAATAAATTGTAACAAATATTGTAACAAATACAGAGAGAACACAGACAACGCACACATTGCTAGAGTTGGCAGAAGCCGAGAAGCTGGTGAAGTATGACACACCGGGCCCGTGGGTAAGTAAGGATCTATGGCAAAAACACAGCGCACAATGCTGAAGAAGAAGGAAGAAGTGACATATACACAGCAATGAAGTCGCGAATCACGCCTGGGGTTAACCAAAATAATGCATAGAAAAAAAGAGTGCACAGAAACCACACGACACAATATAGCAGAAAGGCAAAGCTGCAGTGTGCTGGCTGTGCTTAAGAACAGCTAGCCCAAAATGAAAAAAAAAACAGACTTGATGCCTGCTTGTCCTCAGAAAGGTAGGGCTTTGCAGCTTGCTCACTACGTGAAAGACAAACTTTATGCTAAACACTGGCAGGTCTTGTGGCTCTTCTTATCATCAAAAACTTAAGATCCCAAGTGATTTGCGTCTGGGTGTTGCTGTGACGCTTGCGAGCTAAAATAGATTGTAGTCATCACTTATCCAGAATTGTGGACCTTAATTGTTGTTACGAGAGCGGTATTACAGGGCTAATAAACAGCAGAAGGAAACCACTTTGGCTCATTATTTTTCACAAAGGCTCTACATCGTACGTTATCACTCACAAGCTTTATAAAAATAAAATGGCAGCGTCCGCAGCCCCGTCAAACGCTACAAGTTTGGGTATTCTTTTGAAAATTTTGGTGGGTGAGATGAGGAGGTTGATGAGAAGCTAAAATACAAAAAGCGTGATAACGTGAACTGTGCCCACTTCATACTGTGTTCCTTACGCGCTCGAAGACATTTCAACAAGCGGTTTTGTTATCGATATATTACTTGAGCTGGAGAGATAAAGCATACACAGTGACCAAGCGACCCACAGTAAAGTGTACAGTTCGCCCGCATTTGCTACAAAAATACAGACAGGATACCCAACACTCTTTTTAAGGTTATGCAAATCACTTCGAGCGAATACACAGTGTCCCTACTCCTCATAGCGGGTAACCAAAACAATGTATGCAACGAATGAGTGGTTAGTTTGGTGAGGCTGTCTCCGCAGTCTTTTGATAGTTTTCCGCTGTGCTGCTACTTTGGCTTGCAGATGTTTAATGGTTTGCTTGTACTTCATTGATGGAGACATTGTCGCTGGCACACAGGAACGCACTGCAATAAACAAAAAAATGGATGTAAAAGCGAAGAACAACTAATCCCATACGAGCACTTTCCTCGCTCTTTCAGACCCAAGGTGCACAACTTTCTGTGGTGCAAAGTTTTCGATTCCACTGCCTAAAAACAAACCATTCACAATGTTGACAATGCACAAAAAAATGAAAATCACTGAGAGCCCACCCTTACATTTTGTAAGTGCACACGTAGTGTCCTTTTGAGGATAGTTTCCTCAGAATGTCCTAAACATAAAATATCACATTAAAAACAGCTGCAATAAAAGCATAGTCACCATTTTCTCTAGGGCACTCAGACGTGGAGCTGTTGGCGGAGACATCTTCTGGAGGGTCTTGTGAAGCTTGTTCGGTGCCTTAGACAGTGCTGTCGGAACAATCTTGCGAGCGGCCTGCGGAACCAACAAACCCCTTTGAATGATTAGCTAATCGATGCACAATACAAAACCAGTGATACATCTCTGACCCATAAAACTCTGACTTACAAAGATATACGTCAAGACCACGTACAAAGATCTTCAGAAGTTTCCAGGCCGCTATCCCTTGTAATGCAATGGTATCGCGGCCTGGGAACTTTAGAACACCTTCGTGCGTACGCAGTATCAGCACAGTACATTGGGAAGAAAAATCGTAGTTAAAATTTGTGCGGTAAAAGTATATTGGAAACGTCAAAAAAATTTGTGGGCAGCTTGCACTAGTGGCACAAGGCTAGCGAAGAAACGAAGATAATGGCCACTTGGCTAGTCCAGATTTGCCTCCGGCACACCAAGAATTATTCGTGTTGCGAGCCTTCGGGAAACGTGTGAAGCATGCGAGGCCCAGCGAACGCTTCTCAATATTTTGCACCGAGCCACCGAGCCTATGACCTAGCTGCCCAGCTATGCTCAGCCTACAGACGCTCGCGTCCGTGGCAGACGCAGCACGCGTCGCTTCGGCTTGACGCCGTGCCGCCTTTGCTATACTGCATACGTTGCAAAATGTTCCCGTCTAGCCGCCGCATAGAGCCACAAACTTTCTTTTTAGCGAACCTCCCAGTCCTTACAAGCTTCAGAAAAAGGTTACAACTGCGTGAATGAGACGCCACGTAAGAAACAAACTCGCACACACGAAGCGCAACGTGTGTGTGTGCATCTTTCTATGTTTGTTTCATGGTGTCTTATTCGCACAGGTGTAACCGTTTTCTGAAAAAAAAAATGACCGAACAAGACCAACAACATGTCATTCAACAAGCTTCGCTTGAAAACGTGCCTCACCTGTTATCTCACGCACGAAAACACCGACGCAGCCGACGTTGTCGAAAGCGACGAAAGCTTCTCGCTGCCAGTCATGCATGGGCTTGTCGCTGGGTGGATGGTGTTTATGACAGTACGGCTGAAGAAAAATAATCACGTAAGGTGTGTTGAATAAATTGTTTTTATGTATAAAGAACATACCTAATTCGGGCGTATAATTATTATTTTGTGAAAACAATTTTGTTTCATTGATTATAACTGTTTTTTTTTTGCGCTTGCGCCCTCTGACGTTTGATGAGAGCACTAGCTGGTTACGTAGTCGTGACGCACTTCCTGAGGCCAGGTTTCGCGGAGTGTCCTCTCTTGTCTTCTTCTTTCTCTATGGTGAGAGCTCTAAGCCATCTCTGTTAGCAAACTGAGAACAAAAGCCTATGTAACGCGTCTTGCAAGAATGTACTACTCTACCCCTACGACGAATAAACCTCGCCTGGACTTTTCAAGGGTCGTGACAATTGATGGTGGTGCTGGGTAGCCCTCACGAACGCTGTACACCCCTCCAGGTGTAACCCACTGTATACTACGGGTGTCATTATTCTCTCAAAAGAAATCTCGCCCTCAATAAACCTTTTTACTCAATAAACCAGACATGGACTTCTCAAGGGAAGTGACAATGTATTTTATATCCAGTGCCAATCTTTTGGAGTGAAGTTCGACACTGCCCGATTTTCAGATTGTTAAGTGAAGTTCACGGTGTTTGCTTCAGGTGCGTCACTGGGGAAGCTGCCTGCTGTGCTTGGTGTGCGTCACGTTGTGTATATACTGCGTAGTTCGCGTCACGTCTTACCAGGACGATGCAGCAACGGAGTGTGATTGGCCTTCCATGGCGAGGAATGCGATAACTCTGGACTTGACCTACAATTTCACCAATGAGACGATATACTGGCAAACTGGCGCTACCTTTCAACTGGATGTAGAAGCATATCCGGGCCCTGGTGATGAATGGTATGGCTGCCATCATCCGATAATATTAGCGGGATAAAGATTCGTAACTCACAAGCGGATGGCAAGAAATGGTATCAGATTGAGATGATGCAACGTAACCGCGTAAGGGAGAGAGATAAAAAAAGGACGTCAGGCAGGCTAACCAGATGCTGGGATCCGGTATGCCACCCTGCCCTGGGGTTGTGAACGTTTGAAGTATTAACGAGCACTGCAGTCTCAAGACAACCACGAACTGCGCCGAAAAGTTAAGCCCTCGTTAAAACAAAATCATTTTTTTGTTTTTGTTTTTACTTTGTTTTTTTTCCTTTTTCTTGTTACTCGCGTCCATGTAATCTTCTGTGCTATGCTGGTACTGGATGTTTCGTAGGAATGTATCTATATGTTTTTATTACACTGTATTCGGTATTGTAATGTTTGCTTATGGTCATTATTGTTATACACATCTTTGTCATTGTCCCACCTGCCTTGTGTAGGGTTAACTGGCCTCGTCAAGCTGTCCATAAACAGCTTTTAGCCAGTGAACCTCTCCAGAACCTGTTTCTTTCTTTGAAAATAAAATTATTTGATTTGATTTGATTTTATTCAAAGCTTTAGTAGTCTCGACAAGTGTTCTTCCAATTAAGATCAGCTCAATAAAACTCAGTGAGAACACTGTATTTCCACTCACCAGGCCCCATACGAAATTTTCTATAGACGGTTGAAGTTGCTGGATGTCCGACGAGGAACATTTTGCCACAAAAATATTTTGAATCGGTTCATCACGAGCGGAGAAAACAGCTTTTTTGAAGCTCCGTGAAACGAGGATGAGAGGATGATGATGATGAAAAACATTTATTATAAAAGAGAGAGGTACGGGGCCAAAGCATGACCCTGCTACATGGTCGGCGTCCTTAGTCCGGGACACCGCATGACGAGGCCCCTACTCGCGCCCGTCTCACCAGAGCCCGTTGAGACTCTAGTGATGAGCTGTCGAGGAGGGCAGTCTCCCATGCCTCTCGGGAAGGGGTAGGGGAAGGGGGTAGGTGGGGATTTTTCGGACATGCCCATACCATGTTGAAGATATCACACGTCTCCCCACAGTGTGGGCACCGCCCATCTGTGTTCGCATCGAAATGCTTTAGGATTGCAGGACAGAGTAGAGTACCTGTCTGCAGGCGCCTTAGAGTTCGCTCTTCCGCCTTACTCAGCCCCTTTGCAGGAGCCGGGTAAAGGCGGTGAGTGTCACGATAATAGGTGAGAATTTCTTTGAACCGCAGCAGCGGTGTATTGGCCTCCGAGTCATAAGAGCCAAGGTGAGGAGCCCGGTGGGTAAGCGCTCGGGCGGCCGCGTCAGCGGCCTCATTACCTCGTAGGCCCTGATGGCCAGGAGCCCATACGATGCGTTTCGGGGCTGGATCAGCGAAAGCCCGTTTTAGAATTTGGCTGGCTAGGGGGGATATCTCTCCTACCAAGTAATGAGTACATGCTTTCCTGGAGTCTATGATGATAACTTTCGAGTTGGGGTCCGCAGCAGCAAGCGCTATCGCGACTTCCTCAGCGCGCTCTGGATTTTGTGCTCGGAACGAGAGCCCATTGACATGCTTTTCCCGATGAACTACAGAGGCCGTGTAAAATCCCGTGGGCGAAGGCCCTGCTATATCTACGTAGAATACACCAGGTCGGGAGCCGTGTTGCTTCTCAAGCGTCCGAGCCCGCGCCTGTCTTCTGCTTTCGTGCGTGTGCTTATCCATGTTACTGGGGAGTGGAGCGACCAAGAGCATATGCCGCCACAGTTCCGGAATACGCTCCGCCTCCTCTGCAGTGCAAGTGTGCTGTATATGTAAGCGGTTTAGCAGGCGGCGCCCGGGAGCCGTCTGCACGAGCCGCGTATATTGATGCATAAGGTGGGCCTCCCGCAACTCCTGGTAGGAGTTGAGCACACCTAACGCCCTCAGTTTGGCGTTGGAAGTGGCCACCGGGAGATCCAGAGCTCGTTTAGTAGCCTTACGAATGATGGCATCTATTCTTTCGTCTTCTTGCTTGTTAGTGCGAAGGTATGGGACGGCGTAGAGGATTCGGCTAGTCACGAAGGCATGCGCGAGCCGAAGCGCGTCTCTGCCCCGCAGACCACCCCGCTTGTTGGAAACGCGGTGGATCATGCGCCCTACCTGTTCTCCTATTCTCTTGAGTTTCGCTATAGTGGAGTCCGGTCTGAGTCTATGGTGGATGAACAGGCCCAGAATTCGGAGCTCCTCCACCTCTCTGATGGGAACCCCAGACAGGGAGATGTGTATGGCTGACTTATCTCTTGGATTCGCTCTAACGTGCAGAAGCTCTGATTTGTTTGGAGCACATTGCAGTCCACAATCGTTGGCATACGCCTCGACTATGGATGCGGCCTGCCGAAGGCGTTCCTGCATTTCACCAAGGCTCCCTTCAGTGGTCCAGATTGTAATATCGTCGGCATATACTGCGTGTTGTGTGCCTTCCACCCTGGCCAATTCGCTTGGAAGGCGCATCATAGCAATGTTGAAAAGGAGTGGTGATAACACTGCTCCCTGTGGGGTACCCCGTGTTCCCATAATGTACGGGCCATATTCCTCGTCCTCGATCCGAAGAAGTGCCTGGCGTTTAGAGAGAAAATCTCTGACATATGCAAAGGCCTTAGCCCCGCAATCAGTGGAGCTCAAGTTAGCCAGGATGCTGCTGTGTTTAACATTGTCGAAAGCCCCCTTCAGATCAAGGGCGAGGATGGCTTTATCATTGTGTTGCATACTTATGGGCTGTATGACGGCCCTATGGAGCTGGAGAAGGACGTCCTGTGCAGACATGTGTGGGCGAAACCCAAACATGGTGTCTGCAAAGAAGCCCTTGCCCTCAAGGTATGGGGAGAGGCGATCCCGTACCATCGTCTCCATAAGCTTGCCCGCGCACGAAGTCAGTGATATGGGCCTCAGATTTTCCGTATTCACGGCCTTGCCTGCTTTGGGGATAAAAGTCACAAGTGACGTTTTCCATTCGGAAGGGAGCGCACGGCCGTCCCAGATCTCGTTCATGTATTCCAATAAATGGAGGCAGGCTGTGTCAGGGAGGTTTGCCAACAGCTTTACTGTTATGCGGTCCAGCCCCGGAGCCGTACCCCTGCGCATTTTAGCTAAAGCCGCTTTAAGGTCATGCAACTCAAAACGGGCATCGAGTTGGTGGTTAGGCTTACCAGAGTACGTGTACGCCGGCCCAGGCGGGTCCTCCGTACGACAGAGATACCTATCGCACAGAGCATCCGCAAGCTGTGCCGGAGTGCCTTGGTACCCTTGCAGAGCTCGCCGGACCTGCTTCTGCGCCTCCCCTCTCGTTTGAGAGGGGTCTATGAGACTGCGAAAGAGACGCCATGTCCCCTTCGAGCTCATCTGACGAGCTGCGGCGTCGCAGCGGGCTATCCAATTTGAATCTGAGAGTTGGGCAGCATACGCTGCAGCTTGTTCCGTGAGTTGGGCTATGCGGATACGTAATTTGCGATTAGTCTTCTGCTTTTTCCAACGTTTTGTTAAGCTTCGGCGCGCCTCCCACAAGTGTAGGAGGTGATTGTCAACTGCGGGGGTTTCTTCGTTGGTTTAGAGGGTAGTAGTAAGTCTTTTCTGAATGTTGTTTACGTGTTGAGCCCATTCTGCATAGCCTCCAGAAAATAGTACGGGAGGGATAGTCTGATTGCGAAATTGGGTCCAATCGGTGAACTTGGCTTGACCGCATTTTTTATGAGCTGACTTTTCCAGGAGTGTGACCCGGAAGGGATGAGAGGAGGCCGGCTCGAAACCTTTGCCACTCCTCCGCGTAGCCTTCGCATGGCAAATCTCTTCCCCACCCTCTACGGCATTTGACCAAGAGGTCACGTGCACATGACGTGCCCGAAAAATTCCAACGCCCGAGCACGCAAGCGGCGTTGCTTTGTTGACCAGCGTTATTTTGTGGTCTTCTGCTTTCTTCGAGATGGTTTGGAAGCGCTGGCTTAGACGCGGTAGAATAGATGAGCACAATGAGTGCGCGTACGCGTTGGAGCGTTCCACGGCGGTCGTCTGCTCGATTCGCGGACCACGGGGACCCGAACGCATGCGAAATGCCGACACATTAGCCCCGAATCTTGTTGCAATTCACGGGAGAAAAATGAAATAAAGACGCTCACATTCACTTATTGCGTCTCATTATATATCTAGACATTTATTATTGTCCTCAAGCAACAAGAACATAAACTACGCATGCCGTGTTAAATATTTTGCCATGTCATGTGCCACTATTTGCAACGTCTGAGCAGAGTCGTCTACGCAGAGGACCAACGTCACTGCGTTGACGTGTACATGGCCATCAATACGCGCACGTCAGGCCCTCATTCTGTGGGCGCGCACTGGCAGAAGTTAGGATGAGCAGAGTTCATCTTGAAAATTTAACCCATTTACGTGGCGCGTAGCGTTGCGAAATTCGGCAGACGTGATCATGAACGCCACGCTTACGAATTGCGATTGTCAGCGCAAAATTGTAAAACCTGGTGATTTGCCATTTATTACAATCTCCTAAGTGGAACCACAGTGTGAAAAAGGGCACAGCACGCCGGCTGTGTGTGACGATTCTTTCTGTTCTCGCATACCAATTTGCCGGAAAGGGAACTAGGGAGATCACGCTGCTTCGTAGTAATTTTAGGGTAAATACTTTAGGAGTCATGGCGGTGAACTCATAGCGATCCCGGCCATCTATTAAGAAGCACTTCTGTGCCCACCTTGGTGGATCAGTTCCTAGGGTGCTCGGCCCTGGTCTGAAGGTCACGGGCTCCATCACGGTCGCGGCAGATGCGTTTCTATGAAGGCGGAATTATATGTACAGGCCTGTTTACTGTGTCACGTGAGTGCATGTTACATAACACCAGGTCGAAATTTCTGGAGCCATCCATTTCGTCCCTAACAACCATATCCTGCTTTTGGGAAATAAAATCTAAGAAGCAGTCCTTGCAAAACAGATGCTCACTAAGGAGGCTA